TTCCTTTGCATATAGTGATCAGGGATACTAAGTAAGTGTCAAGCTCATCTAGTCAACTTTGAGATGAACAGAAATGGTATCCGGCAGGAAACACCTAGAAGCCGCAAACGCAAGGCTCGATCGGTTTCTAGCGGGAAACATAACCCGACCTCCCAAATCGTCGAATTCCCTCCGTGATCCCACAGTATGTTTGACGCAACTGTGGTTGCTTCTCCTAGCAACGTTGACGACTGGGTACAGGTTGTAAGGAAGAAACAACATAACGATATAGAAAGGGATCCTGTCCCAATAAAAGTAGCCGAGATATCGAAGGCTGATCACAGTGACAGGTCAGTTATTTTTCATAGAACCAAAAAGCCCGTCTTAAGCATGACATTGTACTGATAAAACAGCTACTTGATCAAATCATGCCTCAAAATATCACCGGTGTCACCTTGCTAAAGGTGTTCAGACTAGGGAGTCTAGCGAACTTGAAGCCTAATCAATCCAGACCGCTTAAAGTAGTATTCAACTCTTCAAACGAAGGTGACCTAATTTTACAAAATGGACACAAATTAAAGGGTTCAAGGGTCTTTACACGAAAGGACTTACCGTTGGCAGACAGAACACAAAAGCGTAAAGGAGGGGGAGTAGCTCCATTCATTAGGAATTCTATCCCATTTGCCACTATCGACAGTGTATCCCATGAGAGTGGGACGTGTGAATTAGTTAGTCTTTGCTTGAAATGCAAGGGACAAGAGCTGCTGATTGGTTTGGTCTATCGCAGTCCAAGCTGTGAGGTAAATGAAGTCCTGCTAAGCAGTCTCAATACTTGGTCACAAAGTGGTCGATGTCTAATCCTAAGGGACTTCAATGCACCTATGGTAGACTGGGAAAATCTGCGAAATGAATCGTCGGAAAATTCCTTCGAGCAGGAACTACTTGATGCGGTTATCACATGTGCCCTAGTGCAAAATGTGAAAGAAGCGAAAAGGTACGACCCAGTCACTGAATCATCCTTACTAGATCGCGTACTCACTCACTATGTGGATAACGTTGCGGACCTCCATTATGTGCCACCCCTAGGTAAAAGTGATCACGTAGTTTTAACTTTCGACTTCCATATAACTGTCAGTCACGAGCACGCGTCAGTCCAATCCAGACCTAATGTTTGGAAAGCAAACATACCAGACATCATTCACTAAGCGTCGTTAGTAGATTGAACAATAGACCCAGAGTCCTCCATTGAAACGGCCTGGGATGCATTTCGAAATTCATACTTAAAAGTTACCACACCCCACATCCCTTGGACTATATCAAGGGGGCCGAGAAACTCCCCAACATGGTTCAGTGGGGAGGTTCGCATCCTTCTCCGTAAGAGAAGGAAAATGTGGGATAGATTTAGGTTACTGGGGACTGATGAAACTAAATCCCAGTATAGAAAAGTCCGGAATACCTGTGCATCGACCCTCCGTAAGTCTAGAAAGTTGTACGAAGAGAAGATTGTTAAGGAATCCATTGAATGTCCCAAACGCTTGTATTCTTATATAAACCAAAGGACAAAGAGAAGAGGAAATATTTCTGCTCTATGGGGAGACAGTACTGCCGCGTCACTAGTGGAGGACGACTTTGGTAAGACTCAAGTGTTCTCGAACTACTTTAACAATGTATATACCATAGAAGCTCCCTTCACGTCAGCGCATACAGATCCCCCCACACATACACTGGATAGCGTGACCATTAAAGAACTCGATGTCTTTGATCTACTAAATAAACTTGACATAGGTAAATCCACGGGGCCCGATGAATTGCATGCTAAGCTACTGAAGGATTTATCTAACCGTTTAGGTATGTGCTTTAACCTATCCGTAACGCAGGGTCGTTCACCAAAAGACTGAAAGAACACCATAGTAAGTCCTGGCTTCGAAACAGGTAGGAAACACAAACCTGAGAATTACCGCCCCGTTAGCCTAACTGGTGTGGTTGTTAAAATCTTAGAAAAGATTGTTCGGAAGAAGCTGTTTGAGTACCTCGATGAAAACCGGATCCTTTTGGAGAAACAACACGGTTTCAGAATAGGTTATTCTTGTCTCACTAACTTATTAGTGGCTCGTGAAGGCTGGTGCCCTCTTAAGGACCAAAAGCTACCTGTAGACGTAGCCTACATTGATTTCAGCAAAGCTTTTGACAAGGTTCCGCACAACCGGCTGTTAAATAAGCTAAGAAATGCCGGAATTGTAGCCAATTTATTGATGTGGATAAAAGACTTCTTAGTTGGGCGTCAACTAAGAGTACGAGTGAACTCAAAGTTATCTAGCTGGGAAACCGTGCTTGGTGGAGTGCCCAAGGGTACAGTTTTAGGCGTAAATGCTATTCCTCTTGTATGTAAATAACTTTCCTTGTCTCCTATCATCGTCGGTCTTGCTATATGCTGACAATGTCAAGATATGGAAAACGATACGATGTAAGAGTGATAGCTTAGAACATCAAAATGACCTGAAGAAGTTATCTCAATGGCTTCAAACATGGCAGTTGCCGATAAATACTTCCAAGTGTGTTGTGATGCATATCGGTCATCAAGGTACAGATACATACACGATGAATAACACTGAGCTGACTGTCATCCAGATTCATAACGACTTAGAGTCATCGTTAGCCAAGACTTAAAAACTACTGCACACTGCTGTGCAATAGCCGCCAAAGGTTTCAGAACGGTACGGTCAATACGTAGGGTTTTTATTCATGTCGACACTAAGACGTTTTTCACTTTGTATACAGTGTTCGTTCGTCCTAAACTTGAGTTCTGCAATACAAGCGGCTGGCCCCTGCTTAAAAAAAGACAATGAGCTTCTGGAAAAGGTTCAGAGAACGGCGACTAAGCTGGTTCCAGGAATATCGAAGCTTCCGTATGAATCTCGACTGGCCAAGCTGAACCTTTTCCCGTTGTCATATCGCAGAACTAGAGGCGACTTGATTACAGTCTACAAATTGCTTAATGATAAATTTGCAGCTAACATGCCCTCATTTTTCTTGTCTTCCAAAACAGAGAATTTACGAGGACACTCCAAAATCGTTCACAAGCTGAGAACAAATTACTTGTCAGCTGACTATCGACTTTCCCATCGAATCATCAAAGAGTGGAATTCATTACCTCAGCACGTGATTGGGGCTCCATCCGTCGATTCCTTAAAAGAAAGTTGGATCAACTGAGAGACCATCATTGCCAGGGCTAACACAGGCCATCAAGCCTTCTTTCCTTTCCGAACTGAAACTGTCGTCGCTCCTTTATGTGTGGTTAATCTAATAGAGCCTTATTTTGCTTTCTTAAACATGGTTACTAAATGTGTTTAAACATTTCATCGACTATCTACAAGCAGTATGGAGATAGGTGTTCTCATGACAACAATTCAATCCAATTAATTCCCGGAAGATAGTAATTGTTATTAAAAATGAACATTTACCAAAACTACAGACGAGTAACTTTGCATAAATAACTATGGTAGGAATAGAGATTGAGGTCAATAGTTTCCGTTTCACAGGACGACAGCCAGCTGAAAGCGTACGACTGAGGATTCGCTGAGGTTACGTCACAGCCTGCCACATTACTCATGTCTTACTCAGTCTAGATATTTTAGAAGTCATACATTACTCCACATCCGCGTAGGCATCTGACACACTTTTAAATCAATGTTCACCCTTATTTGTTTTAGCTAGATTGCGAAGTCTTTGTGAATAGCTAATGTGAACCAACTTGGGATAATTATTATTAATTATTATTATTATTAATGGCTTTATTCAATATTATATTTTGGTACAATATAGAATTCTCAGCAAGTTATTGAGTTCAAAGCAGAGCCTCATCTCCTTGGTGTCGTCCCGTATGGGTAGTCTACCCGCTCTCATGCGCAGGTATGAGTGAATTCGATAGTTATCTATATGCGAGCGAAATCTTGAACTTAATTCAATCTCAACCATTGAAATTACTTTAATGTCCACAAAACCCCTCTAAAATTAATTCAGCGTATTTGCTCAGTGACAGTAGAGTTTCCAGAACCAGTAGATTTCACACAATAATGCAAAGTGTTGCTACAAAACTATGTGATTGAAATGCCGAGGAGAAAGGAAAGGAAGTAAATGCGTTGACTATGTAAAAAATTCGTTCGCAATGACGCAGGTGCGTCCACTCTTTGTGTTCTCCCAAACTCTAATCTTATGAATTCTTCGTGTCCCTTTTTTCTCTTTCCAAATTTATTTCACTGGATTATACTCCTTGAATAACATCTTCAAACCCTAATGTTTCCGATTACTGTTTATACTCTTCCTACCTCTACCACTACGGGATTTGAATCGACAACTGCATCACTGTGGTAATGTGGTTTGGCAACTCGAACTGATGTGCGTACGTTCGAAGTTCTACGTTGTTAGTGACTGACTAGATGAAAAAACTGTTAGAATGACAGTTGGACGGATAAAAATCTGAACCCTCTGCTGAGACAGCAAAATATCAAAACAGGTAAACTTATTTGGCTTTCGAAGGGATTTGATGTTGTGCCAGGTAACATTTGAAGGATCATTTTCAATCCTTTTCTGGCTTCAAAAGTATTTGCAGACCCAAATGCTACTCACTAAGCAGAGCTCTTGCAAACTGGAGGATCAAAGTATCAGGCATGCAACGAAAAACTTTATTCCTGAATTCCAGTTCAAATTTGTCGGTGATTTTCGATTATGTATGCGTTACAGACAATGACGTTGACATGCCTGAAACTTTTATGACCTCTTTCAAACATTTAGGGAACACTACTTTATCTGATTTAATTTCACGATGTTCAAGAAGAAACTAGATCGGCTGAATTTATTTTTTCTTAAGAAACCAATTATTTGTCGTTCTATGAAAACCGAAGATGATTCCAATTTGCTTCAAAAGGATCCTAGAACACGTAAGATATTCGTATTTGACGAAAATTTAAAACTTCGCTTCGTCAAAAGTCGCTTTATGAACATTTGATCCTCAAAGATAGAACAAAAAACACGCTAATGACGATTGTCGTCAAAAAAGTCGATATCCAAATCATTATCTTTCTTTAGTGTCTTCATTTATATTAGCAACTGCTACTAGCTACGTCCGCGTGGTTTGAAATTGATCAATAACGACAATGTTTGGGGATGACTTGTTTTCATGCTTTTTGCCGGGAAATTTCTTTTCGAATTCGATGATGAATGATAATCATTTCAGTCGGGCGCTCATGGCGCATGAGAGGGCATTCAGACATGTACATCAAGAATTCCAAAGAGTCGCGCAAGAAATATTTGATTCTTCAGCGCTACCTAGACAGTTTTTCAATTCGCAATTCAGGTATTTAAAGTTTTGAATCCAGTTATGGCACTAAAATATGATAAATTTAACGAATAAAATTGCATTTAGTTCTTTCCTAATGTTTGTGTTTTGTTTGGTTTAGGTTATTGTATACTGTATTGCTTTATTTGAAATCGTATAATTCAGGAGTCGTCAGACGAGTGCTTTGAAGTGTTAGCGTAGTAATAAACTGCTTTCGATGAAACTTGAGTGTTTTTTGAAAAATATACTAAGACATAAAGGCGTATGTGTGTACGGTACTAAGCTCTGTGTAATGTTTGTGGCTTGTGAAGATGTAAATAAAAAAACGCACGGTGATGCAGTGACTACTGTTTTGTTCCCCAGTGTAAAGTTTACATTTTTCAAGTTCTGGATAAACGCTTCGCGTATAGATTCTTTATTCTGTCAGTTCAGCGTTTATAAATGTTACTTTGGCATTAGTTGACAGGTGTTTAAGAGAACACAAATTTATAGAGGATTCTTCGAAAGCAGTTGTCGTACTTAAGATAGATAAGCGTGTAGAAAGCTTATTTGTGACATCGAAAGCAAGCCTTGTCAGGACTTAATTCTCACACTGTATTTACTGTAGCATATTTATACAAACGTGAGGGATCTTTGTTATGGTCTACTCAGGTGATCCTCTTAATTCCTTATTCGAAAGCTATTATGGGCATTTCAAGTCCTTCACAGAACTGTTCAGTACAATGCAACAGGTAAGATATGGCCTCATAATCACTTGTGTCATTAGTATGTGAGCCATTTTGCCAGGCGATGTAAATACAGGTTTCTCAATAGGTCCACGGACTATTCTTAGCTGGAGTACTAAATGAACGATTATTATATGTTTGTGAGTTTTTCCTTAATGTTTACATGACTATGGTGAACTAAGAGTTTAAATAGTGAAGAAATAAAACGTAACCCATTGTGCTTTCTTCCTTATTTTCGTAGGGAAGTCAATATTTTACTCCATGTGCTTTATCTCAGTTGTTTATTGTCGATTCCTTAATCAATCACAATTAATAATAGCTTGCATAAATAACCAATGGTCGAATATCGCGATTTTGCTCAATTTATTGTTCAGTAGCAAAGCCACATCACGATTCTCCACTTTTTATGATACGCGTCAATTAAATGATATACTGTTATATCAGTTACTTTATTAATTTAAGAGATTTGAAGATACCAGGACCCTTTGCTAACCCTTTCTAGTGGTTTATTTCGACCACTTGTATTGCGGTTTTGTTTATGTCTGGCCTCGCAAAAAACATTTGTTCTCTTATCTCCATAGTTTGAGTTACTCGGTTCATATTCATATATAACAGTTGTTTTGATTTTTCCACTAATTTTTGGGACTGGAATTTATCAGTCTTTTTTGGCATATATACATCCCATGAGGATAGCCACGACGTTGACATTAGGTCACAAACATCGTCAGTGGAGGTAAATGATGCATAGCAGAGAAATTCAGGACAGGCTTCTTGTCCCTTGCTATCCACCATTCATCTCGGCTTACAGTTGGTTCCCATTATTCTCACTTTTAGTTAACAAAGGTAAATAGGATACCAATAAACAACAAACACTTCCTTGCTTCGCGTATTAGTTACCTAATCCATTCTTGGTATGTAGCAACAAAATTTTGTTCTGTATATAGTAGCATTGAACTTAGAACACACCTTGGTAACTGGATTCGATTGTCTACATTTCAAAGGCAGTAAACTCAATATAAGGATGAATAAATGTCTGATCGTATTACAGCTTAGTCAATAGGGCTTGATTGGCATTAAGAAATTGAAAAAACCACTACTGGTCTCTAATAAGTAATTAACCGATATAGTAGTTTATCATTTCTTTTAAATTATAACCTCGTGCTGTCCGAATTCATCAATTAAAAATCCATGATTACGATTGAAAACTAAGAACCTGATTATGAGAAATGATTTATATAAACTCCTGGTGGATAGTTTTAGGTACTCATTCTCGTTGAACAGGGTAATTGTAGACTATTCTCAGAATTAAGCTACACAGTTCCCCAATCCAATTCTTTTAAGGAAGCATAATAAATCAAAGAAAATATTTTGTCCATAAACTGGTTTCGCTTAGGGTTAAAATATTATCTGTATGTCAGTCAGTCAGTCAGTAACAACGTAGAACTTCGAACGTACGTACATCAGTTCGATTTGCCATACCACATTAGCACAGTGAAGCAGTTGTCGATTCAAATCCCGTAGTGGTAGAGGTAGGAAGAGTATAAGCAGTAATCGGAAACATTAGGGTTTGAAGATGTTATTCAAGGAGTATAATCCAGTGAAATAAATTTGGAAAGAGAAAAAAGGGACACGAAGAATTCATAAGATTAGAGTTTGGGAGAACACAAAGAGTGGATGCACCTGTGCCATTGCAAGTGATTTTGAGCCATGTCATTCAGAGTCTCTAACCATCGGTTGCTATCATCTCGCTGATCCCAGCCAGGTAGTCTACACCTACCAACATGACTCAGTCCACTTGTCAGTGACTTCATGGATTCGTGCCATGCTTTGGTCTGACCGCCCTTAGCTTTCTTCCAACCTACTCCTATACCATTGAGCATCGCACGTCGAGGCAGTCAGTGGTTGTGCATACGTAACACGTGTCCCAGCCATCTCAACTGATGAATTTTCACCACTTCATCAATCGGTTTGGCATCCTTACCTAGTACCCATTTCCTAACGACTGCGTTACTTACTTTATAGTCCCAGGATATACGAGCAATGTTTCGAAGACACCTATGATCAAATACTAGTAACCTACGGATACCCTCTACTCTTGCCGGCCATGTTTCACTGCCATAAAGTAGGATGGAACGAACTGCTGCTCAGTAAACACGTCCTTTGGCTGATGAGACTTCCAAGATAAGTGAAGTGGTCGACACGCTCAACTACTTCACTCCCCATCATTAGTTCGGGTGTCGATGCAACCCAATCCTGAAGCAACATTTTGCATTTCGAGGGGAAGAATCGCATGCCGAACATGCTTGCATTGCTGCATAGAATGGTCAGAAGACTCTGCATTTTGTCAGCGTCTTCACCAAATAGAACTATGTCATCGGCATATTCCAAGTCAACTAGTGAATCTCCTGGTAGAAGTTCAACTCCTGGAAATTTAGATGAGGAAAGTTGACACTTTATCTGTATGTCCAGTGTCAACTATCTATATTCTGTAGTTGTGTGCGATAAAACAGAAAAAACCCTAAAAAAGTGGTATGTTCTAGTTATTCATGTTTTCCTAAATAACCACGTTTTATTTTCATTTTTACCATTGTGAACAAAATTAATTGCTTCATCTTAAAGAATTTTGAAGATATCTTCGTGGCTTGTTCATATTCATGTGCCACCTCCATGAACATTTCTGTTCAACTCAGCCTATCTGTTGACATCTTACTCGCAAAGTTTACTTTACAGTGAAATCACTTTCAATTGCTATAGTTATACGATCTTGGTCCTGAGTGAAATGATACTGATAAAAGTGGACATAGCAGAAATGGCTTGTGAAAAAAAACAATGGTTTTCCTCACACTATTTTTAACATGTACATAATTTGCTAAATAAAATGTTCCATACGATCAAAAGGTTAAAATTTAGGTTTTCTGTAGTACTTAGAAGTATTCGAAGTAATGTGATAAGAATTCTCGGAGTAGTGCAATTTAAGGCACGTAGTACTAAATGAGCTCTTTTAGGGTTACTGTCGGTTCAAAGGCTAAGCAAAGGAGGAGGGTTGGAGATGAGGTTGGCAACCCCAATCCTTAGTAAATAACTTTGCTGAAACAACCCTAACCAGAATAAACAATTTAAACCATTTAAATTCTGCTCTAGGAGTTGAAAGATCTTCATTCAGAAGTTATAACGCCTCCGAGATTGTTCGGAAGTCATGAGACCGATACCCCTTCTAGCAACCAGAGCGACAATTTACATAGTTACTTTTGTGGCCGGTGCCTGACTTCAATCGGATCGCATGAGTGATTGTCATTGCATTATTTCTGTCGAAATATACGTCCTGACTATTTTAGTATATTTCATCGAATTAAATCGCGTTGGTGAATAACGGAATTAAGTCAGTCGAATACGAAAATGGATTTTTGAATACATATATTTTGTACACTCAAATGACTTAGCTCTTCTATCCCATACACATGAACAAACGCAGTTGGAAGCAACCAGTGTAGCAGGGTCCACTGCATCAGTAGGCCTCGACAGATACAAGGGGAAAAGTATGATCCCTAAATCAACACATAGAGAACCAACCTAGTCACACTTTATGGAGAAACTGTGGAAGAGATGGAAAGTTTCATGTACCTGCACAGCATAGTCAATGAACAAGAAGGATCTGATACAGATATGAAGGGAAGGGTTGGTAAAGTGAAAGCAGCATCTCTACAATATAAGAACATTTGGAACTCAAAACAACTGCCAACCAGTATCAAAGTCGGAATCCTAAATATGGACGTCAATACAGTCCTACTGTATGGAAGTGAAACGTGGAGAACTACTACAGCTATCGTCCAAAAGGTACAAGTATTTATAAACGATTGTCTACATAAAATACTTAATGTCCGCTGGCCGGAGGCCATCAGCAACAAGCTACTATGGGATAGAACAAACTAATTTCCAGCTGAAGAAAAAATCAGAAAAGCACGTTGGAAGTGGATAGGACACATATTGAGGAAATCACCAAACTACATCACAAGGCAAGCCCCAACTTGGAATCTTGAAGGGAAAAATAAGAGAGGAAGACCAAAGAACACACTGCACCGAGAATTGGAAGCGGACATGAAAAGGATGAATAGAATTGGAAAGAACTGGAAGGAATCGCTCAGGACAGAGTTCGTTGGAGAATACTGGTTGGAAGCCTATTCTCCTCTACGAGGAGTAACGGATGTAAGTAAGTGAGTACTAGACGAGTACAAATGAATTTATTGTATTTGGAATTTGTAATCAGCGCGCAATCAGGTACGAAGAAATCATCATTTACTACAAATACCACATTTTTCTCAACTTTACAACAATAACTTGCTTCAGTTTTTAAACGCAATTCATCACAATTCAAGGAGCTAATCTTCACAAAGTGAAATAAGTGTGTTGCTACAGTCCTTTTTATTTTTGTTGGAATATTTTGGCGTATCAACTGATTTGAGCATGTAAATGGTTCATAGGACCGACCCATACATTGATTTGATTATCAATCATTTTATAACATAAATATCGTAGAAAATGTCACACATAAAATACTTTAACACCGATCAAATATCAACAATACCAACCAAGTAAACCAATCCTTTAGTACACGTCTTTACTTTTTGTAAGCGATTGTTGTAAATAGTTCATAGAATAGCTTCAATTAAAAAGGGATCCTTTATAAATCTTGCTTATTTATATGTCACACTATTCATCAGTTATTAGATTGAGAATGCCCCGACCGTAGCTGCTACCTTGACGTGGTGGTCGACCTTGCTTATCGGGATGAAGCAACCGAGCTATATTGGCTGGAACACATGTTCCTGTAGGTTTTGCCATGCCAGGCAGGTCGATTGGAGAACGGTAAGACTAAAATCACCAAATCAAGGTCTGAGGGCGAAGTCGTACTGCTGACTGGAGGGGTGTGGCAGCAGTAAGGTTTTTCCCTCGGACAACCAGCATCTGCAGCGATGCTGCCTTCTCACAAAGAAGGAACAGGTTAGAAAAGGTCGACCCTAAAAATGTCACACCTCACCTTACCTCACGGGTTTCCGTCTCTGGCGCTAAGGCCCTTTGAAGAACGAAGCTAACACATTAAAAACCTCCCACGAAAAGGCCGTGCGCGACCGGCCTCAAGCAGTTGTCCCTTGGGCTCTACGGTCACGCCCCCAGATCGTTAAGACCAACACTAATCCAATTTCCTTTTCAGGTACCTCCAGAAGAACCCTTCCACGGTGTGGGCAGCCGGGAAGTGACATCAGCCCTCATACCCGTAACATATTGAGAATGCAAAGGGCTAACCTGCTTGTTGTAATATTTCCCACTGGTTTGTTAACAGACTAACCTGGGCTCTCTAAAGATTATATCTGAGCATTGAAAACTAAAACCAAAACTGTGTAAGGAAGGATCAAACAGATCGGAACTGATGGTTTTATGTATAAAGTTATTTCATTTCTCACCAATACATGTTGTATGCATTTATATTTACCAATTAATAATGTTGATTACAATTATCAATCAGAGTGTTACTCGACCTCCATATGGTAACACTGCTGATTCGCATTCAATATAGTTTGAAGTTGACGATGTATTTGACAAGAGTAATTATCAATAAATAAATTCTCTATGAACAATATGCTTTATTTTGTCTTGGATAAAGAAGATCATTAACATGTCTACATTTTTACCCTATTCTTGTATTACTTTCAGTGAAAACAAAACTTGACAAATTTATAAGGACTGATTTACATCTTATTTACAAAAAATCATTCTTAAGCAGTTTTGTCATTCATCCCTGAGGAGGGAAATATTTTCTTACATGATTTGATATGGCCTTTAGTAATTTTAGCACGAATACTTAGGTGTAGAGACACTGAAATGAAACAAATCTAAATTTTTCACTCTCTAGGTTCAGTGACATCAGGTATATCACATTCTTTAGCTCAGAGTGACTAGTCATAATACTTTTAATTCAATCACTCATTTAAAGTTTTCAATGGTAGTCTACGCATGTTCAGATAACAACTTTTCCCAATTTAAGAGGTCGATAGCTAGTTTGTGATTTCAGTCAGTATTTTAACTATTAAACGTTTGTCATCCGTGTTTCATTCTCTTCAGAGATATTTCCATAATTCCACCTGATCGAGGTACTCAAAGAGTAACGCTAAGCGATCCAAATGATGTAGTTGGTAATTCACGCGTACACAGGTTAGTGTTATCTCATAAAATTTTGGTGCGTAAGTATTTCTTTTACATAAACTGTCAGTGGTGTTTCATTTATTGCTTCATATTTTTATTATGTCCGTTTTCCTGAAAGGATCACGAGACTTTTAAATAATTAATTGTTATTATCCATCATTATTGATTATTATTTTTGTAAACCAGTCAGTCAGGAAATAATTTTCATTTCTTTAGTTAGGCGATTTATTGTTTGAAATGACGCTTGAATTTAGAACCGTAGTGAATAACTTGTTTCTTGAACTACCATAGTTGACTTATTCTGATGTATAAATAACACTTCAGAGTTCACAACAGAGATGCATCCTGTTCTATGCACATCTAGACACAACCTATTTTTTTTATTAAGTTTGAGGTTACCTTAGTATTTGTCAGAACTGTAAATACCTCTTATAATTTAAATCTTTCTTCACTGCTTCACTGTCCAATCGTTTGATTAACGTCGAGGTTCGATAGTGTGTTTGGGCATGAAAATAATAATTTAACTAATGTTAATACGGGATCAGGTGGCTTGAGCATGTTTAACGAGTTTCATTCCAATAGCTTCTACATCGCATTATTCTTCGACTCTGAGACCGCAGAAAGGTGATTGGTTTATAACATAACATTATTAAGTTCAACATGGCTCCGTAGGACTGACATATATTGATTTATCATGACATAGCGGTGAAGGTTCTGGAGGGCAAGTAGCTCGATGGTTAATTCTATCACTTTATTTGTAAAAGTAAAATGAAGATGTTTAGCCAACTCATTTTAGTCTCTAGAATTATTTTTAAAGAAAGAGGATTTTTGTTAAAGATGTCATAAATTTCCAACAAGCAGAGTATATCATTTTGGTGGGATTGAGTTCTATCTAAGTGGTATGATCTCGAAACTTTCATTATCTTCCTAGATAATATCATCAACACAAGCTTTGTCTCAAATTTATTTCATCCAGACAGTATGTGTTTTGGTATAGAATTGTTACTTTTTCTTACCATAATCAATAGTTGATTAAAACAAACATTTTTTTACTTTGAGTTAAATCTGGTTTCCGCTTGAGGAAAAAAACTGTATGAAATCTAAACTTATCTATGTAACTCTACTTAAGTTAAATGTCAAGTAGATTTTACATTTTTGTCCATTCTATTCACTTACTTTTTGTACCCGAACTTATTTCACAAAATTTGTCAGTAGCATAGTTAACTGATAATCTTTTTGTTAACTACATATTGAGAATCTTAGAGATTTCTTCTTATCACCTATTAACAGATAGTCGGTATCTTCCTTCGGTTTCTCTTTTCTTTCAACTTTTAATTTAAAAGAAAGCTATATGATATGATAGAGATTAATAAAATCAAATGATTTCATTTTCTTATGTAAATTATGCTCACCATAGTGTCATGAAAATACTGATATCAATGTGTGTGTTTTTTCAAAGTTATTACATAATAGAGACAATTTGAGTAAAATGTCTGACTGATTCAACTCGTTTATGACTTACGAAAGTTATTTATTGTCTTGTTAAACTGAATCGTTGGTTAGAGATCTTGAATGACATGGCTCAAAATCGTTTGCAATGGCACAGGTGCATCCACTCTTTGTGTTCTCCCAAACTCTAATCTTATGAATTCTTCGTGTCCCTTTTTTCTCTTTCCGAATTTATTTCGCTGGATTATACTCCTTGAATAACATCTTCAAACCCTAATGTTTCCGATTACTGCTTATACTCTTCCTACCTCTACCACTACGGGATTTGAATCGACAACTGCTTCACTGTGCTAATGTGGTATGGCGAATCGAACTGATGTACGTACGTTCGAAGTTCTACGTTGTTACTGACTGACTGAAGTTACTAACATTATTTTGCCTATAATGTTTTCCAGATCAATCATTTTGTAAATTAAGATATGAAATAATCATTTTTTTTTAATATTCCTACTGACAATAACCCACTGGTTATCTTATCAGTGCATATAGTTTCCATGAATGATTTTTATATCCTCTAATAAAATTATGAGTAAATACTGTGTTCTAAAATTTGCAGTTTGAGTAATTTCTTATAGTGGTCTCGTGGTAACTCGACGTATATGTGAGGAAAGCTGACTTTCATTTCCTTACGCATATATATAGAGGAGATTCGTCTCGTCAAAATAAGAACCCTAATTCTATGTTGATTCTAAGTTCATTTACATATAGTTTTCATTCATCATAAATTTGTATATAAAAAATATTTAGAAATGAATTCGGCTTTGAATGATTTCTGAAGTTTGATTATATCGTAAACCTTCATACACCAAATGAATTGACAAGCTTTTCAAGTAACTTATAAGCTGACAAATACAAAGCAATGCACACAATAGATAAATAGAGCATTCGTCTTAAAAAGAAATACTTCATCTAATCCGAACCTTCGATTTCACTAGTATGATTTAGTAGGAAACATTGTACTAATGGTTATAACACAATTTTTGGAAGGGAGAAAAAGGTTCGAACTGTGTTCCAACCTACTTTGGTCTAGTGTTCTGACTAAAATCATTAGCCCTTTAACTCTAAAAAGGAATTGGGTTACATATGAGTACCCTCATTTGTGTCAATTAATCAGTGAGAATTATTTTGTACTAGTAAATTCATTTCAGTAAAGTTGCTTGCATACAGTTGATTAAAAGTTATTTGTGATAAGTATTGTTAATATACGAAAATTTAGTATTCATTGAATTGGGTACGTATGTTAATTATCTTTATCAATTAAACATATTGAAGAAGTTCACCAACCGGAAAATATATCCTAGACGATATGAATTGAAAGAATACATTATGATTTCATATAAGAGAGTATGAAAAGGTTCTTTAAAGTAATTTTTCATTTGTTTTAAAGAAATTTAGAAAATTTATATTTCTCACCTTCATACGTGCTTCAATAGGCGGCCAAACAAATGCATATGAAGTATCAATATAATAAATAAAAATCAGTCGAACTTCACTTGAATATTAACTGTAAGAAACGGTACCTAAGCAACAAGTTTGTCGGACAAACTATGAAGGTCATTTCACATTGATTAATTTGTAATTTACAATGAATTCAGATTCACTTTTGTTATTCTTCTTAATTGAAGTCATCAAAAGTCATATAAATATGACATAGCTATTAAAATGCAATAAAAATTACCTCGATTTATTGACTAATTGTAGTTAGTCTCCTTTATATGATGAATGAATTTTACATAGGCTACTGTGAAAATTTAGACTGATCACTTACTTTCTGACATAATAAAAAAATCTCCTTGATGTAAATTTTACATTCTTCGGTAAATATTAATGGTTTTATAAATTGGTTTGGGCTTATAATGACTAAAATCAAAATAGTACTCATCAGGATATCATAAAAGTACTAAAATATATTAGAGTTTATTCTCGAATAGGTAATCGATAATCTTTGGTAAAATTCCATCTAAATATGGTATTTACTGTGAATGTACATCGGTTCCTTATTTTTGTAAAACAAATTTTAGTCAAGTTTAGTTTATGTCCATCAAAATTTGACCGCTTCTTGTTTAATATCAATATTCATATTACATATGAAAACTGTACTGTTGTTTTAATGCTAAATTTACTTCTCCATATTTAACAAGTTAATTTATCCGACCCTTTTTTCAAATTCTGACTTAAATATTTCCACTGATGATATACATGAAATTATAATCAGTCTAATTGAATAAAGAGTATATTTGTTGCTTTTCTTTGTAAGCTATTAAGATTACTAAAATTTATTGTGTGCGACACTTAAGGTCGTGGGTTCGAGTCCCGTATATGGAGGGCATGGATGCACACTGCTGAGAAGTGCTATACTGTTACGAAACGGCCATCCAGTACTCCCAGGTTTTCAATGGTAGTCTAGCTTACATCTACTCGTGGATTTAACTGTCAAAATACTACAATCTACATAAATCCACATACTGATAAATCTAAAATTATTTTGATATCAATTCAGTGATAAAATTGATTCCTTTTTAATAAAAAAAGTATTTCTTGAACGTTTAATTATAACTGAAACATTTAGGTTTTTTCAGACCAATAACAGTAAGAATACTCATCTGTTAGTTCATCAAAAGTCATTCGTTTTATTAATTTTATATTTCCTAAAGTACCATGCTTAATCTATATATCCCGTTCAGTCATTTCCATAAATACAGTATTCACTGTCAGATAATCTTTCTAAAATAAGATGATTCTCATATTCTACACAAGTGGTAATCACTAGACATATTCGCCTGTTGAAAATGGCTAGATTTCCAATTGTCGAAAAAAATGACGGGCAATGGAACTAATTATTTGCTGAGAACATAATATCGTTGATCATTTAATAAATAAGGATTAGTCGACTATGTTATGTACTTTCATCAACTTACCTAGGAATTTCGCAACAAGTTTTAAGCCACAATCAAATTCCTCGTGCTTTTTTAGCTAGTACAGAAAGAGATGGAAATGGTCGGATCGAAATATGGTACTAATTTATCAACTGTGCGACTTTCAACCTAAAATAATTAGGAAATGGTATACTTCTGAATGACAATTTATATGATACCTAAAATCGTTGGTTGAATATATTAAAATATGTAGATTATAATTGGCTACACTAGCGTAGGTGTATTCATCTTTTTTTTCTTTTAATACTGTTCATTTTGCACTACGATGTGCTTCTCTTAGCTTCATACAAATCTTCATATTCTTATTCCTGTTTGCTTCGATTTTTTTAATCGTTGGTAATGTTTTTTTTTTAAATGTGAAGAGTAGTAATATCATACGATTCAGTCGGTTCAGATCATAGGTTATCCTCACTAATCTATGTTTCAAACAATTATCTATTAAGTGAGTATTTGAAACATAGTTAGATCAAATACCATTTACTAAAGTTATCCCTAATAGCTCATTATCTTTTTAAATTTAGGCATAGAAATAATGATCCTGTGACATTTGAAAGAACCAGACTGCAATGGTACGACTCGAATACTCGTAGGTCATTCTTGCCTGAGCCACCTGCCCGTCCTAAAGTATTAGGCTTTATGAATGCTGATGAACTGAAAAAACTTCCTACGAGCATTTATAGAATTAAGAAGACCTCATCAACAAGCGAAGACACATTTACATCACCTAATGCGACTACAAACTCATCAAATGCTCCTAATATTGTACCTGTTCTTAATGAAAATCAAAGTAATATGACACCATCTGGTGGTACACATTATCTTGAACCAGAATCAAAAACAACTACTCTTGTCCAAATTCAACCAATACAATCATCTCCAGCACGTGGTCATCCTGAATGTGAAATATGTTTAAGTGAGTTGAAAGTAAATTATGTTATTAGTTCTATACTTATATGCAGGACGGAAAAAACCTTATTCAGTTATGGTATTTGTTATTTCTTTTTCTAATTTAACATAACTTCACTTTTCTTTCAATACTGAAATGTTTTAACTTTGGAATGAATCATCTTCGTTTTGAGCTACAATAAGAATAATCATCATGTTAATAACCATAAGAAAAGTAAGATGTCATGATATTCTTCTTTTTTGCAAATTCCCCTACCTAGTCATCAACCATGACTATTAACATCAAAATATTATTTTGTATGTTCTTATTTTATTCATTTTAATGTTTTAGACTGAATGAGGTATTTCATAAAATCTTACTTGTAGTTCTATTTAAATATTTATGAATATGAGACTTATGTTAGTGAAATCCTTCTTGATTTAACAATACTACTTATTTGATTCGAAAGAACCATATACCGTGGAATTTCAACCTTGTATTAAATTCTGGAGTGTTGAGGCATTGAAGATTTAACTAAACGTTTTGTATTAATAAGTCTTATTTTGGAGGAGGATTGGCAGAAATCTCATGTGACATAAAATCAATATACATGCACCATCCGGAACCATAGGAATGGGATTAATTTGGAAATCATGTTCGTTTGTACTTACTCTACAACCATTCTATTATCAAACTATAAAAACCAACCATCATATTGTTAATTTCTACCTAGTTCTACATTCACATTCCTTAATTTACAGAAGTCTTGATTTATATATAATACCTGTAAAATAATTTATACACATTGGTAGGTTAATGCTATCATCAGTTATGTGGATTTGTCCAATATCCAATGACGGTGCCAGCGAGTCTGGAAACCTAGCCCGAAAGGGTTGGGCAAACTTTTTCACCACCGTCGTGACTTGGAATTATTCCCCATGAACCGGGAATTCCTGATAAGTGCAAGTCATAAGCTTGCTCTGATTACGTCCCTGCTCTTTGTACACACCGCCCGTTGCTACAACCGATCGAATGGTATAGTGAGGCCGTTGGATTGGTGTCATTGTAGTGGCTTTGCCGCTCGTCTGATGCTGAGAAGATGATCTAATTTGACTATTTAGAAGAAGTAAAAGTCGTAACAAGGTTTCCGTAGGTGAACCTGCGGATGGATCATTATCATGACCCAAAAATATATAATAATGCATTCACCTGGCTTCGTGCTGGACTGTATGTACCATGGCTCAGTGGTATTTACCCTAGGCTTCAGCGGTTATTATTTCATATTTCAAGATAATTTTTTTTCAGATAAATAGTAAACTTATGATGAGAATGTGAGCTATTCATTTGGAACTTCTTATTTTTCTCCCTTATATTATTACTGTACACAAAGTACACATATGAATAATTCTAAGTAATAGATTTTAGATGATTTCTGTCGATCTTACAATTTCATTACAATAGTTCATTTCAAATTATGGTCATTATAGTACAGAGAAATAATAAAGTAATCACAGACGTGAATTTTGTAGATAAATTACTTAATTATATTAAAATGTTCCAAACAAAATACATTTTTGACTAATCATGCGGGTTGATATAGGCTAACTCAATGATTTCTACTCCGTAAACAACTTCAACCAAGCTATTATTTCACTGCTTACCAAGCCTTATTAACCATATTTTAAAACTGATCTGTATATATACATACGTGTGACTGCTTAAAGCTAATACATTTTAATTTAACAAATTACTGTGATATAAGTTCTAAATAACTTGACAGATAACATTCATATTCTAATTGCCAGTTTTAAATACTCTGAAAAAAAACGAAATTATCTTTAATTAAACTGCTCTAGAGCCAAGCTGATCCTTTTCCGGAACTTAAAATGATATAGAAAGTTATGTATCATGCACTGGGACATTTCAGGTGGTTTATCATACTCTGAGCTACATTCCTCATGGATCTCTGGCTTTCTTCTAAACGGATAATTTACTAAATTGGAATTAGACATTATTACTGTTGGATCCCGGCTCAGTGGTCTAGAAGTTAAGCGTTCGCGCGCCAAACTAAAGGTCCTGGGTGCGAGATCGTGGATGCGCACTGCTGAGGATTTTCATATCGTCCAGTGCTTCCAGATCTACAACGATGGTCTAGCTTAAATCAACTTATGAATTGAACTATTAAAATTACTACAATTTCCACAAACCCCCATACGAATTATTTGTAAAAGTTACATTATTTATATTCAAATTAAAATACAACAGGACTATTTACACTTAGATGAACTATTTTTCCTTCGTTTTGTGACTTATTCAGGGTCATGACCCCATCAATAAAACCGATAGTTTATCATGTTAGCTGAGTGATGTTTTTGTCCGTTATATGGTTGAATACTATTCACTCTTTTATACCGATGATACATTTGATTTTTTGTAAAATATATTCTTATTTAAGTGATATTTAATTATGCTAGCTAATCCATACATAACAATTCCGGACGTTGGTTTCACAAAAATGTAAGAATCTTTTTGGTTACGTCATTTACATGGTGTGATACAATCTTCATTTCGAATATTTTGACTATGAGCTGATTGTAAGTGACTAAATCAATATTTGGATTCATTAAACTATATCTTAAGTATTTAGGAAAACAGTCAAGTGAATCACTTCTAATCAAAATAGTTTAAGATTTTCACGTAATTCTTTAATATTAGTATTCCGTCGAAGACTGTTGCACATGAAGATATTGATTTTCTGTCACCATTGTTACCCTTACTAATGTTTAATTGCTTCTGGGATTTTTAGATAATTATTTACGTATATTCTATCAAACTAATAAAAAAACAGTAAGATGAATTCAGAAATTTAATAGGACAATGAAAGTTGGTTAGGTTTATGGAGAAGGTGATACGATTTATGGAAAGAATATATATATATATATATATATATATATATATATATATATATATATATATATATATATATTATATGGAGCACATACATTGGAAGAACCGAGAGAAGAGTACATGTTCGCATTTCTGAGCATGTTCCGAAGAAATCGAGGCTGCAAAGGACTAAAACTCTCACCAGGGCAATAGCTCGGCGTTTACTTGACACCGCGTACACCATTGACATTCCTCATGCTTTTAAAATTATTTCCAGACAAAGAAATACGGCTTCTCCCCGTTTTGCCAGAGCGATCGCGATAAAAAAACTCAAACCTGGTCTATGTATTCAGAAAGACACATTAATAAACTTATTAGTTCCCTGGTAATCCATATTTCTTTGGTCATTAGTTTTATTTTGTTAATGTTTAGTTTGTGTTATATTCTTCTTCCATTACTGAATACTTAAACCACCTCTTCACTCATACATTTCCACTCACTTGATTCTCTTAAATTATGTGAGCTCCTCAAATTCTATTCAATTATTACGTAACCCATCTTACCAGTTTTTAATTCCATGAACCTTATGTAAAATTTATCACAAAACTTATCTTATCTGTCTCTGAACACCACTCAACTATTACGCTACCATCCTTAATGTTTTCCCTGATTCTAACACCATATAACCTCTGACCTGTTCTTGCATATATATAACCTTTGTCATTCCAATCCTTTACATTCACTTATGACAATTGTTCCACACTATTATCTCAATGTAAAGTTCTAATACATATTTGGTTGTAAGCAGCTGATGAGAAACCACGAAATATAATGAATTCATATTATTCTGCATCAATATCTGTTCTGGCTTTATTTAAATTCATAAGGGAACTAATTGCATGAGATTATGACATGTGACTGAAATCACGAATCGATCTCGGTTAAACAACCGTTGAAGTTTTGAAAGTACCAGATGACAGTTTCGTCCTATTATGGGACTCCTCATCAGCATGAAGCACCGATTCTGTGACCAGGGATCGAACCCATGATCTTCGTTTTCATGCATCAATCCCTAAATTCTAGATCTTCGAGTTAGGACTGTTGCTCCTGGGTTCCATTCTTCAGTAGAGGCGTTGTGGGTGCATATTTTTGAGGACTCTATAATAAGACGTTCAGTGATTCCAGGTTTCAGTGGTTGCCTATGTTTGTTGGTCCTTCATTTCATTAAAATTCAACAACTTCCATAATCATATAAGATTATGACATATCGTTTAAATTTTTGAAATTACAAGCAATGATGGAAAAGACTTCATTAGTTCTTAGGTTGGTTCTAATATAAAACTTAGGTCAATCATTAGGTCATTTCGAATAATAAAAACTTGTCATTATTTTCCTCTGTTTTATCAGTATTCAAACGTTCGAATTTATTGTGAATGATTAAGCATGTTCCTGAAAAGTTTTCTTAGTACTTTAAATATACGTATACTTATGTACTTAAGGTCTCAAACCTATTTACCTGAATAGAAATTCTATAGATTCAGATGATTATAAGGAACACAACGCTGTTTTTATATCTGCTCAAATGATTTAAACCTATGTACAGCTTAGAGAGGGATTTTCATTGAATGAAAAAGTACTGTTATCATTCCTAGTGAATAAAAATAAATTTTGTAAAGAAAATTTTCATTTGGACGAAACCAATTACTTAAGCTGTACATTCGTGCTTATAGTTGCTTGGTAAATATGTAAGTCTATAGAAAGAACGCGTCATAAAGTGATTTGAGATTTCAGTTATCAAAAGGAGCTGAATAATAATTATAGGGTTAGAGAAGAATAGAATAATGAAAATAATTTTTGGGTCCAACTGATTTTATAATTAAGTATTTTGTGATATCCCACGTTATTCAAAATTCCAAGGAAGAACAAACTAAATCCGTTTAATCCCCAAGTAAACTATTGCAAGAAATGCTTGGGATTTGGCACCAAATTTATTATTTGAGCTCTGTAACTTGTTATTCATCTCAATTTTGAGCATATTACAAGATTTTGTCATTTGGACAATGGACGGTTAGTAATTATAAATTAGAATGTTGTAGATTATTGAACCGGTTGAGAGTTCTACACTGATTCAGAGGAAAATAATTGCATCACTTATTTTTAGTTGAATATCAAGATAAAGATCGCCTCCGCCACCTTCCTTGTGGACATGCATTCCACATGAAATGTATTGATGCCTGGTTAAAACAGTCAACAACTTGTCCGAAATGTCGTGCTGGTGTTCGTGCTGGACTTGCTCGGTTAGAACGCAACCGTCAGCGACAGAGAGCTCAATCAAATTGTGGGACAACTTCGAAACCGACGCCCATACGAGCTGTTCGTCCACGTCCAGGTGCATCAACTTCAAGTGTTCAAGAACAGGTACACGATCCTCTTTATACACAAAATTTTTTTCATTTTCATTTAACTTTACAATCAATAGAGTTTCGCTTGTAGTATATGGATGAACAGTTATTTCCTTCGGTTTTGTATTTGCTACACTACTGAATATGAAAGTGGATTTTATGCAATCAGACTTTATCGTAAACCGTCATGGAAACTATTCGGCGCATTGAATATAAAGTAGTAAACAAATGACGCTCAACATTGAAACATGTTTGATTTGAGTTGTTACTATCAAGCGTGACTGATCTTTCGTAAGAAGATTCAAGGATCACTTAACATAATGTTTCTCAGGATGACGACAACTATTCAAAATCGAACCTTGGAAGTATGGACCGATTTAATAAATGTATGTCCATTTACAGTACTAAATCAGATTATTCATCCTATGTGGTAAGTTCTTAATAAATAAATAAATTTATGGATATCACCTACTCAACGAAGATTACCAAATGAAGTCATAATTTTAGATAATCTTGATTTATCATGTACGTCAATATATACATTTCTCAGTCTGATAAAAGGAATGAATTTAATTGGCATTTCTGTTAGATTATCTTACCTAATGATGAGACTGTGACAGTTTCGTGAGTGGGAGATTTTTGTAAATGTATCATTATCGTTTTTTAGAGTAGCACCTATTTAGCAATCGTTTAAAAGTAATTTAATTTTATAATTATTCACCCTTGAAGACAGTAGAAGAAATCTAATTTGAATGCACTACATTCTTAAGCTTTCACTGAGTGAAATTAGTCTATGCCTGATGGACACTTGATACTGCGTTATCGTTTAACCCATTCGTCGCCGGACTACTAGTTTAAATAACCATATATTCGCCTAAATCTTTCATTTGGATTAACCATTCAAAAAGAAATATCGAGTTACCAGTTGGTTATAAAGAATGATTACTCCTATGACTCTGTAACATACTTTTGGTTCTATTCCAAAATCTGAATTACATTCAGTTTGCATAGTAAGATGACCATATCACCCTAGAATCTCTCAACCATGAAGAGTTTTTTAAAACTACGAATGATGGAGTTATGTTAATAGGAATTTGTTTGTATCTTAGGGATCAGCATATAAGACTAGATTTAGTTGTAACTACATAATGGTAGTTATAGCATTGATTCTGTTTACCATAAACAATCTATAATTTGTGTTTTTAGTGATTTCCTACTTTTTAATCTTCTTCAATAACTGATGAGTAGCTAGTATACACGTCGAAACTACTCATGACTGTATTTCAACCAAGTTTTTCACTTCAAAAAATAGTGTATATAAATATAGCATTTTTATGGTATTTTACCTTCATGTTACATTTCCTACTTTAAAATTGTGCTCCAGTAAAAAAACCAAAGTGTAAGCTAAATGTTCATAACATTCTCTTCCACGATTAATAAATTTTATATGTTCTCTGAATAAAATCATGTATGACTTACACTTTCCTACATTTTCTCTTAAAGAAATGTTTTCATTATTAGGCGCTTTCTTAGGATTTCACTTGTTAATAAGTAAAAAGATATAATTATTATTCTTTCAAAGTGGCATTTCTTATTTACATTGAAATAATTATTAGCATCGTCCATCGAATTCCAGACAAGGTTCTCAAACAACCAATAGAAATCAGATAACCAATCAGAGTTCTGTTGTTGGGACTGCTTCCGATACACAGAATAATCGTACTACTCGCAGTCGACCTAAACCTTCAGCTGCTTCAACTTATGCTACGTCTACCATTTCTACTAATCGCACTACAAATGTTCCAGTTAATCAACGAAATCAACGTTCCGTTTTGCAAACTAGTTCCAATCAGCAAGGTTGTTCATCAGAACTTAATAATGAAAACTACGATGAAGATGATCTTAAGCATCTAACTAATATTAAACCAGTACTCGTGAAAATACAGTGTCTCAAAATAAAGTTAACGAGGTTGGTCCTAGTTTTTTTTACAAACACAATAATCTAAGCAATCTTAAAAGTAATTCAAGTTCATTGTAACTCCGGGTAACTGATCTCAGCTGACATGATTTACTAATTGATCGGTTAAATACAAACAACTCTTAAATGAAGTATATTATTCAGTTGGTATTGAAATCCAGGTTGGGTTTGTCATACGCCAACAATCAATGTATTAGTTTCGTTATCTTGTAGAGTATTAGATTCGACTGTGCTGTTTAAATATAACTGATAAATCTGACAAACCTGAATTTATGATTGGAAGTATAATAGCTACTTTTTGACCACTATTTATTCTCTGTTGTTCAATTCTTCTAGAGAAACTATATTACTTGACTAACAATCTTTATTATAAGATATTTTGTTAGGTATCCAAATACAATGCAATGAGATTAAATTGGCTTACACTATGTTAATCTTTTAGACTAGTTACATGTAGCTAGAGGAATGTGCATATTTAAGAGTTACTAAGTGTGAAACACTCTATATTGACATTTGTTTTGTAAAGAACTGATAACTAGCGTTCGGCACCTAAGAAAATTATACTTTTTTCAATAACACATAAAAAATGAGTGGACCATTCCATGCACGATCATGAACATTCAATATATCTGTGTCAGGAATAAAACAAGCATATAATTCAGTAATGTGCAATATTTCTCGGTAAAGTTAGTTAATTTATGGGTTTTCGAAATTCTACACACATATTAGATTTTTGCTTAAATATTACTCTAATTCATTCAAAACAACCAACTGACCAAGTATTTAAAATATGTAATTTGTTAACATCATTCTTAATGTCGTATAATTAGTGATTGGTGGATAGATCATTACGCTTCTACAGTTTCGAGCAATGAGAATCAGATAAATGTGATTGTTTGACAAACAAATACAGTAGTTGGTGATATTATTATGTTGTCTTCCATCACTCTCTAGGAGTATTAGAGACAGGATTTCTGGTCTAAATACGTGTTTGATCAGTTTGTAAAACGTATGATCTAAGTAATATTTCATCTTCTATGTTGATTGTTTCCGTCGTTACTATTTCTTTGTAACTGAAACTAACTTCATAATTGTTAACCTAAAAATAGTGACATTTGAAAATTTTTGGTGAATGATTCATCTAAATGGGTAATATTTTAGTAACTAATGCTGTTGATATAAGCAATGACGAAAATGATATTAACACTAAATAATAACTGAAAATAAATTTCAGTTACTCACCTCTTTTCTAAGACTATACTGATTGAGTCGCACAGAATGAACGATAGAGTATTCGAGACTAAGTCTTGGCAATATAAAAGGGTTACATTTTAAGCATTACTATCCTGAGTTAATAATTCTGTTTATCAATTTGAAATGGATTTAAAGTTCTGTTTCTAACAGTCTATAAAACACAAGGTGGGTTTATATTATTGACTTAAAATGATCTTGATTCGAATATCATCAGTACAGCAGTCATATTAACTTTGAGATGGTGGAGATTTGTAGCTCAGGTGGGTGATTTTAATGGAGTTTTGTTATCTGAACTGGATGGTTTCGTCGTGGAGCTTTCATCGCTCTTCTGAACGACATCATCAGCACAAACTTCAGATAGAAGTGAAGCGTTCGAATTTCTATCTGAAGTTTGTGCCGATGATGTCGTTCAGAAGAGCGATGAAAACTCGACGACCAAACCATCCAGCTCAGAGAACAAAACTCCATCAAAGTCATATTAATTAAATGATTCAATTGTGCGAAAGTGTATATAACAAAATGATACTCAAATATATGAATAGTTAACAAACCACATTGATTAATGACAAAACAAAACGAACATTAGGGCAGTGACGAATAATATTCACTTTTTTCCCTCTTTCAGTCAATTATCGCTCGACGGAAGCTGTTGAAGCAGCTTTGAAAAGGGCAGCCTTATCAGAAACTATTCAATAACAGATTGAAGGAAATCCATTTCCAACCTCAGCATAAGACATATAATTATCAGTTTATTCTATACGTCTAATATCATTTGTTTCTTCACTTACTCATCTATTCATTGAACAATTGCCCTCGAACTCAATCGAAATATGATTATTGCAGATATTCAATGACTCATGTGATTATATTTTACTATCATTTTCATTATTATTGTCATTGTTATCATTAATATTATTGTTCTAGGAAACTTATTTCTTTTTTTCGTTTGTGTAGTTTACTCTTATTTTCTATCATTACATTAATTGTCTTATGTATGTTATAGTTACAGAGCAGTATGAAAGTATCTAGATAATTTGGTCAGTTTATTTGTTAAAGTTCAAACTACTTTAAATGTTAGCGATGTTTTTTCTTCAAAACAGAACACATAAAAGATAAAAAGGGAAAGAACTCTATCTTGGTCACATATTCAATTTTGTTGGCGTAGATATTTGCGCATTTCACAAATGTTCATGATAATAATATTACAGAGTTTTCTTTGTTCAAGAATTATATAATCTTTTGGCTTATAGATATACATTTTTAAAACAACGATGTACTATCATTTTAATCGGCTTTCAATATTTGTGTCATTCTATGAGTTACTTATTTCAGACTCATTTTAATGTACGAGATGCAGTGAATTATTATGAGGGGATTTTGGAGGAATCGTTCATTTGTAATTAGCTTAGAGATTGATAATTGAAGTTGGAGTGAAAACCTGTGATCAGAAGTTTATCTAAATCGGTAGGCGATATAGCTATCTTCGATGACAGCAAATCGTCACGCAATACTGCGCATCGATAGAAATTAGACAGACTCCATGAGTTATCATGACTTGAAATTCTCAACCAACCATGTATGATGTTTACAGTGTGTAGTGTCCAGTGTTCCAGAACTACGAGAGATCAATTATTTTGCACCCCTTGGTTTTTAATGGTTATCCAACCATCAATTTGTAGTGAAAATCGTGTTCCATGTTGAAGTTTGTAATGTTAATAATAGTAATACTCTTGAAAGTTGTACAATTTCATCAATCGATGAAATTCAAATACCTTCCACTAAATTTACATCGCTTCACTAGGTTTCATGAATGATATCAACCTGTAATTTAAATAGCGCACAATACTAAGCCATACGTATTTTAATTTTGTAATTACTATATGTGGTTATTCATTACAGAAAGGAAATTTTCATTTAGCTGAACAGTTACCTGACTATGTAACGTTAATACTATCGGTGACAAAATATATATCAGAAGGGGTTTCGTGGAGATTTTAGAAATTTCACTGATTGAAATCGTGAGTCAATTGAAGTTAGACCACCATAGTCTGCTCACTAGTGACTGACTTCAAGAGATGCTCCTGGAGTTCTAGTGAGAAGCCGTTACCAGTGGAGTTCAACCACGTCTGTTGTGAGATATCAACTCACTGAAGACAATGGTGTACGGTGGCGCAACTTCATGGATTGGTTGAAGTCAGACATTAATTACTTTGGATGCCGGCTCAGTGGTCTAGTTGGTTAAGCGCCTGGCGCGAAACTGATAGGTCCTGGGTTCGAGTCTCGCGAGGTCGTGGATGCATACTGCTGAGGAGTCCCATGCTAGGATGAGACGGCCGTCCAGTGCTTCCAGGTTTTCCATGGTGGTCTAGCTTCAGTTGATTAATGATTTCAATCAGTGAAGAATATATGTTGTTCATCCCCATACAATTACAGCAAAATCAAGGAACGAATGTTTAACGCAAACCAGACTTGGGAAACACATAGCTGTTCTCGGTATTGTAAACTAATTGAAATGCTTTATGAAGCGAGCAGCAACAAATACTAATTGGTTCCAGGAGCATTTTCTAAGACCACCTGGCTTGCATCCTTATATAACATATGTGGGATTTCCAACTATAGAGGTATCTCAAGATTTAAAGTATCCAAAATAAACACTTCTTGTGGGCCCAAAGATCTAAACAGCTTCAGCAATGTTTCAATGGGTGCTTGTGAATATGGCCAGCGCCAGTCTGTTATAGATTTGTGTTTACTTACTGACATGGCTCAGAATTGATCACGATGGTGTATGCAGTCTTTCTCTTCCCTTAAATCGTGAGATTAAAATTACATATTCTTATATGCAATCTTTGTTTTATATATTACCACCACTGAATTAACTACTTCTATGAATTCAGTGTTCATCTTGTTGTGCTAATGAGGTATGGTAATTTGAAACGATGCATATATGTGCCTGGTCCCACCTTGTAGCTGACTGGTGCAACTATCGTCTTCTAACGTGAAGTCTAAGGAGGGATGGGAGACATTGAAAACACCCAACTCAGTTCGGTTATTGATTTAATAAATATATGGACGACACTTTCGTCACGTTGACTGTATTCTTTCAACAAGTGCCAACTATTACTTGAGCCACTTAACATACATGTACCACAGTTACACAAAAATTGTCATTTGAATTATGTTTCGACTAAAGTATTGGCTAAACATATCGTTACTGAGTAAAAGGTACATCAATTTTCGAAAAATGCTTCCAAACGTTTGATGGGAAAAAAAAATTCTGTAAGTACGCCACGTGACCTAGATAAATAAGTATTTTTAGTGTAAAATTGAATGACCTAAATTATTATTTTTCAAATAATGTCTTAAAACAATCTGGAAAATGTAGATTGAGGAATTACCGGAGTAGATGTTAAATCGAGGATCATTAGTTAAAACGAAAAGTTCACGCGTTGACCACTACTTTTCGTTGCTCATGAAGTTTGATTATTTCTCTGCTTTATTTAAAGGATACATTTTTGTTAGTAGCATTTAATACGCGCTTGACGATATAGTGTGACACACTTTTCAGTTATTTTAGCAAACTAATATTGTGACTCAACAGTCACAGAAATTAACGACGAGTCTTAATACTTCTATTGTTCACGACCCGTCCATTAAATAGAATGGATGTAGTGACTGGAAAACAGACCTATATTGCTTTGGTTGAACTACTAGGATTCATACCACACATCATATAAGAAGAATGGTGAAAAATTGAGACGCAATTAGATAGTATGATTTTCTCTAAAACTTCAACAACGGTTTTCGTACTAGGAGTGCAGCATTTACGTTAGCCTACGACAGTTTAACAGCATATGACAAAACAGAATAGGAACCTTTACTTCATTTCCTAATTTAAAACAGCTACCGATGGAGAATAACCGATCGTGTAATTTAGTAAAACTACGAAATAATCCACCAAGAATCTTGAACACGCTTTATAAGTGACAGTGAGATTTATTGGTGATAATGCCAATAAAATATTTAACAAAACATTCGGTGAAATATACAGGAACATACTGCATGAAGATTACGTTCTTAAATTAATTTGTGTGCATAAATAGTAAGCTAATAATCTCAGACACTTATGTCCGTCTATCAGTTTACATTCTTATGCTGAACCATTCTGGTCAACTGCGTTAATAGCCAACTCGAACAAACAGGTCGATTTCGGATACGTGAATCACCGATGAAGTTCAATTTTAAACCCGATATCGCTCTAGAAAAGTGAAATATATATATTCAGATCTGACTTTTTCGGTCACGAGATCCGACCACATAACATCTCACCATAGTCAAGTCACACTAGTGTTCATACGGTAACCTGGTCGACAGAATTCGATCAACACTAAATGCTTATACAAACAAGATATTGATCACTATTGATTGGTCGGCCAATTGTAATTATTCTTTAATTTCCTTGTGGCTACTAAGTTTTGCACAAACTCGAACGTCAGAGTCACACAGCCAACACCTGAAAATATGATACATATTAACAGAAATAATTCATAATGAAAACTGAACCGATATACATAAAATATGATGTTTTCATTTCATATGAACAACAAGAACTGTATGTTTTATTATGTAGTTGGGTTATTTTACATTATACATCACAAGATGCTAATTGCACGAAGTTAAAATACTCACTTAAAAGTAATAATAATTGAGTATACAAATAAGTAACATAGAGTTTAATATCGCTTTTGCCTATATTACGATTAGCAAAACGCTAATGAATATAAGGTAGTAGAAACAATTTACAATAAATGTATGGTTTAGAATCTCTTCAAAATAATTGAATAAGTACAGAATATATTTAACTAAAAAACAATATCCATTGATTGGATTAACTAAGACAGCTATCATCATTTTTATGTAGACACTTTTCTATCAATATGCTCTTTAAATAGGATATCGTTTTCACAATAATTTGGACAAGAACATATGGAATTATTTAATCCTACAGACCATTTAGCACTATTCACAGTATTACGAAATAACATAGCGATTGAAACTGGACCAACACCACCCGGAACTGGTGTAATCCACTTTGCGTTTTCTATAGCTGTTTCAAATTCTACATCACCGACACATCGTGATTTGTTTGGATTTTGAGGATCTGTTTAAACGGAAATGACAATAATTGTAATGATAAATATGTATATTTATATAACGTTGCTTAAAATGTTCGGTTTCAGATCATTCAGTAGAATTAGTGAACCTGTAAACAAACAAATTCTGATAATAACAGTTTAGTAGTACAAGTTTTCTGCTTCCATCTAATAGGTTACAGGTTCAAACTCCGCCCTCCATTACTCTGGTTTGGGTTGCTGGGTAATATTACCAGCCCTCATACAAACAGTTTGCTCAAAGCTTAGTACATAAATTCCTGCATTCAGTAAAGGAGTTACACTAATGATTGACGAATTAAATTTGATAATAATTAGTCTGAACCAAACCATAGTTGCTATCTTGACACTGTGGTAGGGGTTTACATATCGTAATGATCTATTCGACATATATTGCACGAAACAACACTTTATGACTTACCATACCAAGCAGGTAGATCGGGGAACGGCAAGACTAAAAGTAGTAACTTAGGTTAAGAGGGAGAAGCTATTCTTCTAACCTTACACGGATGTGGTTGCTGTAAGGTGTTTCCCTCAGACAAACAGAATCTCCAGAGATACTGTATTGAATGAGAACACAAGTGGGGACAACCAAATGTATTTCAGCACAAAATCTCTTGGTAAAATCTGAGAATCATACAGTAAATACTTCATTTACAAAATATTAACCAATCGTCTCAGACTTCACTGCTCCTTCATTTCCACACCAATTATTCTCTGTCCTCGTTCTCTTTCCTTTGATCTTCTTAACCTTCTGTCACCAGGCAATTTACCTTCGATTGATGATACAGTAGCATACACCACAATACCATCCCCAATAAATAGAGGAGGTTAGAAAAGGTAGACCCTAAAATGTCACACCTCACACTACACAGAGAATTTCTGAATCCAGTGATAAGGCCTTTTGATGTACGGAACTAACACATCAAAATCTAACCACAAAGTGGTCGTATGTGGCTGGCCTCAAGTAGTTGTCTCTTGGTCTCTGTGGTTACGCTTTCAGGTAGCTAAATTAACTAATAAAACAGATTCCTTTTTAGATCACCCATGGAAAATTATTCTTTCATGACGTAGGCAACCGGGAAATGATAAACCGTCCCCATACCACTGATAGCAAACCATACATATCACAGCTTACGTCCTTCAAGTTATTACAAGTACATCAATAACCAAAGTATAACATATTCTTCCTGAATCACTTTCTCATGCACACCACCAATCCACCATGTCCATCACATATTCGAGTTGTACAAGTTAGAACGAAAAACCGTCAGTTCAAATTGCCATACTTCATTAGCAGTTCAGTGAACGTAAATTAACAAGCATGAAAATAATGGTATTGAAATTATAGGTAATTATTTTTATAGTATTCAGTTACGCGAAAACTTGTTTACAAAAAGACATATTAAGGCTTAAAACTACAGATTTAATTCCACTTACCATTCAGAACAGAATAGCCGCAATCAATTACCAATGCTCCCGGTCTAATCCATTCACCCTTTATTAATCTTGGATGTCCAACTGCTGAGATGACAACATCACCTCGCTTAATTTCTTCGTTAATATTATTTGACTGTATATGACATTGTATAACTGTTGCACCGCACGACCGTGACAACAAGTCCGCTGTGGGTGCTCCAACAAGACGACCACCACCAATGATTACACAGCGTGAACCAATTATAGGAAAATTAACATGACGAATAAAAGCATAGCATGCGGCTGCTGTACAAGGTATATGAACATGCTGTTGTTTTACGTTTTCACAGTGAGGACATAGTATATCCCCACGACTTAATACAGCTGTATTATAAGCATTTAGACTAAAGGTAAAGAACAAGCAGAAAAATTGCTACGAAGATTAGTGTCTATAAAAGGTATGATATACTTTAAGACACAAGGAAATTATCAGTGAGTCTTTAAGACTAACTGAATATAGTTTCCTTGAAACTACGCGGAATTTAGGCCTATAAATTTTTTAAAAACTATCGTACAGATTGGAATATGTAGCGATAAAGTGAACATCCGTAACGTAAGTGATGTTCGTTGGCAAGCATATATCAACTAATGATAAATGTGATTTCATATATTTCCTTTGATACCAACAAAAACAAACACTGGAGATTATTTAAAAATTAAACATCAACTACTAAGAACATTAAAAATTGTAATATAAAAAGAAAACGTATGAGCAAATAACCTACCGATTGAATTAAAAATTAATAAAGCTCTGCAGTCACAAATGTTTTTGCCAACCTGAGTACATATTTCAGAAATATATAGTCCACCCAATGATGGTGGCAGTGTCTGTCATTGAAAGGCGTACCCCAGAAGTACATAAACCTTGTAAAGGCTCTTTACTCGAACACTACTAGTCGAGTCAGGGCTTATGGCGAACTGTCATCTGTTTTTGCAACCTCAATTGGTGTCCGTCAAGGCTGTCCACTTTCTCCATTTTTGTTTAATTTCATCACAGACATACTGATGGAAATATCTTTCTCGTCGACTGAGTTCTCGGGTATTGACCTCCTTCCAGGAGGTCCACTTATCGACTTAGAATATGCAGATGGCATAGTCCTGTTTGGTGAAGACGCTGACAAAATGCAGAGTCTTCTGGTAGCACTAAGCAACAATTCCAGAATGTTTGGAATGCGCTTCTCTCCCTCTAAATGCAAGTTGTTGCTTCAGGACTGGTCTGCGTCAACACCTGAACTAAGGATAGGGAGTGAAGTAGTCGAACGCGTTGACAACTTCACTTATCTTGGAAGTCTGATCAGCCCTAATGGGTTGGTGTCTGACGAAATCTCAGCACGGATTCGGAAAGCTCGTTTGGCTTTTGCCAACTTACATCACCTATGGCGAAGGCGAGATATCCGTCTATCAATAAAAAACGAGTATACTGCGCGGCAGTTCGTTCTGTTTTACTTTACGGCAGCGAAACATGGCCAAGACACTCGTAAGCTATTAGTATTTGACCACAGATGCCTTAGAAATATTGCTGGCGTCTGCTGGGACCACCGGGTAAGTAATGCTGAGGTTAGACGCAGGGTATTAGGGAATGATGGTAAATCAGTTGATGAGGTTACGAATCTTCGTCGACTGAGATGGTTGGGCCACGTGTTACGTATGCCTGAACACCAATTACCACAACGCACAATGCTGACCAGTGTTGGGGATGGTTGGAAGAAAGTTAGGGGCGGCCAAACCAAAACGTGGCATCAGTGCTTGAAGACACTAACTTCTAGTCTGAGCCATGTTGGTAGATGCAGACTACTTGGTTGGGGTCCGCGTGACTATCGTAACCAATGGTTGGAGACTCTTGGTGACAAGGCTCAGAATCGATCACAATGGCGTCGGTGTATACACTCTTTGTCTTCCCTTAAACTAAGAGATTAAAATCACTTCATATCTTTCTTTTTATGAACCAATTCTTTCTTCTTGTACTATATTTCTATATGCAATCTCTCTCTTATATATTACCACCTTTGACCTAACCACTGCTATGAATCCGGTGTTCATCTTGTTGTGCTGATGCGGTATGGCAACCTGGACCGATGCACATACGTGCCTGGTCCTACGTTGTAGCTGACTGACTGACTGACCCAATGATGGACCAGTCTTGTTTAAATATCACGTTATTCATTCGAAATATACCGCAAAAAGACATGACTTGGCAAAGAAATACGTAGATACCCGATCGATTTGACAACATTCTCACTCAAAAAAGGTAACTGGAGAGCCACAAAAATATGAGCAGTTTTTGTAAGCATTTTGTCAGGTTGAGGTTCTCAAAACACTGAATAATTGCAGACTCTGGATGGAAAGGTTTAAAATCTGTTGTAGGGACATAAACGAATATTATGATTATCATGCTTCATATCTAGATGGTGACTTAGTTTTGAATAATAACGTGGTAATCGAACCACGTAATTAATAATATATCATTCTACACCTACTTATTGATTGTCACAAGGTTGTACTTACGTATTTTCCATTTGACTAATTGTACCAACATACTTCTAAACCCTACTTTCGTTTTAGTTTATATTCCCTGATCGTTAAGTTTATGAAAACTGGGACAGAGATTATAATTTCATTCCAAATGAGGACTTATCAACGCACTTATTCGACCACATATGAAGTTGAGTAAGCACGGCACTGTTATCAATTTCAAAGGTTTTTATTTCATTGTTGTTAATATTCCAAATGGAATTTCATTATTCTTTGACAGCAAATGAGGTCTTACACCGAATGGAATTACATCCAACTAATGATGCCTGGCAGGGTGAAATGTGAGTCCAGGATTCTGTTGCTTGATAGTTTCTAAATTATCATCAACTTCTAAATAAAGATACCCATTTTAGAAAGTTCATGCTACAACAATGAGCGAATTCATCCCTTAATATCAACAATAGGAAACTACAAACCATAGCACGTAGTAAGCAATGAGGGGTAGTTTCAATTACAAAGATAATATATCATCTCAGTGTCAAACAAATAATGATAACCTGTTTAATTATACAAAGTTATTTTGCAAAATGCTCAGAAGATTTATTTCGAATGTAATTAAAAATGAATGGACATTGACTTCTTCAACAAATCTAAACCCAACTGACGTTTAGCACTATTCCCGATTACTGATAAAAGAAACTAGCGGAAAAAACTTAACGGTATACAAAGAGAATAAGTGGATAAATAGATAACGTACCCTTCAACATCCTTGAGAGTAGCAACAGCATTCAGTGAATTAGTAACATTAATATTTGAATCGGAATCAAACGGTAGCTTCAAAAAAGGAAAGAAACATAGAAATGAAATGTGAACACAATTTTAATGATCGATTTAGTGCACTAGAATTGTTTTTGATTAGAATTTAAACGCCCTTAGAATAAAAATACTTTAATAGATCACAACTAAACAAACTATTTCCTAATGGCTATGTGGTGACTGTTTGGTGAATTGTGACTAACCAAAAATGAATAACTTTTATACTAAGATACTATTTTTATACTTAAGAAATTTTTCTAGCAAAGCTTGTCAGAAGTAAATGTAGACATTGTTAAAAGCTCTATTCCTTTTTGGAAAGGGAAAATCCCACCAGTCAATAGAACACAGGATGAAACACACCTGATGCTTAACGTACATCAGTGTTCACATAAAAATATGTAGGTTCATAATTCGTAACAGAGTAAACAAAGAATATACGCAGGCATGGAAATATACTGAAAAGTAGAAACAAGAGTTAAAAACGAAAAGCAAATAATGTGAAAATGATCAGGATTTAAATAAGAATAAGGAATGAATACACCTATGCCACTGACTCACGTCACTTAAGGGACCCCGAATTCTATTATTACAGAATAAGGATGAGTATAATAAAACGCTAAGATAAATATCATTAAACACGAGTCCCACCTATAAGATACCTACCTGCACAACAACCTAGTGCTTTCGTATCATTATTCTCGGCAACTACCAATCTAAATCTCCTTAAGCCAACAGGACATATCGGGGTAGACAATGATTTGGGAATTTTAACATATGATCTCTACAACTTCAAAATATCCATTAACTTACGAAACATACATAAAACCTTAACATTACTTACTTAGTAGTTACAGAACATACAATTATTTTGAAGTCCATGTGGTACATCGACGATCTATGACATCTATTAGACAGACTGAGTTAAATATGCCTTTCTTATTCACGTTGAAAATTCATCAGTCACTGCCTGACTAAGGTTGGTTCAACTTTTTAAGTACTCACGTACTTTATACTCTAATTTTAAGTAAAGTGAAGACAAATTATATTATTTTTATCAAGTGTCGTGTGCCAGATATTTTTTATTTATCGTCATTTTATTCTTTATTCTTAGACTCACTCAAGACGTTGATGACAATATACTATATGTGACAGTTTTTGAATTTCGTACACTTTGGGTAGATTACAGTAATTTCATGTGTGCAATATATTTTTTTAAATGTACGGCTAAATATCGTTGAACTCATTAGTTTTTTTTGTAGAACGAAACCGAATAACAATGGTGAAAGTATACATTTATGCCCAGTAGAATACCTTAACTTAAACAGCAGTCACAAATAGGTAATTAACTAACACACACGGCCACGCGTATATAGCCTCTGCCAGGGAAGTCCTACTCACTGCCTTCTCGTGGCGGGGGTGTTGTTTACGAAAATGAGAGGACGAAAAGCGAATGTCCGACGCTTTAACCGGATTCCAAACCAATGGTGCACATGGGCTCCAGTATCCTGAGGGAACAAATGGCGTATGAACCAATTGTTGGTCATCGGCTTCCATGGGACTGCATCTCCTTACGATGCTCCACTGCCTTGTGGATCAGACCTTCAGGTCGAAGGCTCGGGGTGTGGCCCCCTAAGATAACCACCTGCTTCGGTCTGGGCACCCGGGCAGTATCACAGCCCTCACACATATCGAATGAGATTTGTGTGGCGCATATGTATTTGGTGCCTCCTTGTACCAACACATTTGGGGACAGATACAACTCATCTAAACATACAGTTAGTCCCTGGTTATTCAGACTTATTATGTTAACTAAATTTGGTGAGGAAACGTAAATTTTTCTCTTGAATAATAAGTCGGCATATAGGGTTGCTGAAATTTTGGGTGCTCGAGCAATAATTTCAGTACCCTGCTCGTACAGTTAACCACTGAGCGGTTGTTTTCAAACAGTTTTAAAATCCAAAACGTTTTTGTAATATGGCTTATTGACTAGTTTGTGTTAAACGTTATCTCCCAAACATCTTTCAACGCTATACACTGCTTCGGATTATGGCAAAACAAGCAAGACTGAAGAAGTACTTTATCACTGCACTGTGTTTCGACAAGTCTGTCAAATATAGGCAACTTACGACGAGAGTAACAATCTACGAAGTTGATTTTTTTATTGGAAAATGTTTTGAGTTTAGTGGAGAAGCTGTATTGAAAAGGAAGGTTAAATTAAAGCTAATATGTCAGTACATAGAAACCCCAAATACTAGTGCTCAAGTCACCAAACCAAACGAGGCCCAGGCTAAAATATCTGCCAGTAAATCGGAAATGTCACAAAAGTCGTATATGGTCAATCGGTCAGACAGAAAATTTGTAATTTGGCAAGTATCTGCATTTATCCACCGATGCATATGTGCGCCTGGTCCTACGTTGTAGCTGACTGACCCTATCTACATTCACACAATATATGCACAAAGAGATATAAGTATACAGGTGAATAAGAAATTAGTAGAAGTACCGGTGCTAGTGAAAAATATAAAGTATAGACAATATGATCAGAGAAAGAATTAATTGGTGGAATAAAATGGGTAAAATAATTCTGAAGCTAATTGTGTAAGGGAGGACAAAAAATAAATGAATCTGTGATGTTGAGATCACTTCTGAGCCACGTCACCCAGTCTCCGACTCATGGTTACGATGGTTGTGCGGATCCCAACCACGTAATATGGCTGATGCCAATAGTCAATGACTTAGCAGACTGATGTCACCTTTTGGTTTGGTCACTCATAGCCTTCTACTTTCATGTCAGCCAACATAGAGCATTGAGGTAAGTAGTAGTCGAGGATACGAAAAGCACGTCCCAAACAACTCACTCAATAAAGACTTACAATCATATCAACAAATTCGCCATCTTAATACCCTGAGCCTAACCTCAGCAATGTTTACTCAGTGGTTTCAACATATAAGAAAAATGATTCGGATACATCTCTGATTCAGTAACAATAGTCAACAAGCATCTTATACTCTTACCTTATGGGCCACGCATCACAAACAGAAGTTAATAGAAAAATGTTAAGTAGTATACTCATTTGTTAGTTACGTGATGGTTATTTAGTCCACACCATAGGTAAAACAAGATGGCAAAAGCCAAGCAAGCTTTCTGAATTTGGACCGACATTTTGTTAAACACTAACCGAATATGGCTGATGAGACTTCAAATATAAGTTAAGTGGTCAATGGGCCCAACTATTTTACTGCTGGTAACAATTGAAATCACAGTTAAACAACTTACTTGTAAAGTGATACCGTGCACTGATGAATCAGAATTCAACTTATAAACGTAATCTAAAAGCTTTATTATCATCAACTTCTTTGTTAATCTATCTCACCACTGACTCAGGTATATGTGATGGAAATCGCATGTGAGACAAAAGTATGCCATACTTTTCTGCAAATTTGGATTTTTGCTTTATGTACAACTTTGACTGAGGTAGATTACCAACCTGCATATAGAAAAGTCATATGGAATAAAAAGACAAATTACAGGAACGAAACACGGTGAGAGAAACGAAGAAAGTGAAACAGTATTTTCTCCCTAGAAAGAACACGAGGATTGTTTTTGCTTACCAAGCCATGAATTAGAGACTAATTCATCTTTAAAAACGACGAGCAACTGTTTTGGGAAAAACTAACGCACAATAGGATTCCCCAGTTGTGAAAACAATAGATTACCGATAACATGAACGACTTTTACACTGGTTAAACCTTGCGAACGACGTTCAGCACTGGTGAAAAATTTATTATTTATTTATTTGAACACATAAATATTGGTACAAAGGGGCACCAAATACATATGCGCCACACAAGTCACTTGATTTGTGTGTGGGCTGTGGTACTGCCCGGGTGCGCAGACCGAAGCAGGTGATTTTCTTCGGGGGCCTCACTCGGAGCCTTCGACCTGAACGTCTGATCCACAAGACAATAGAGCAACATCAGGAGATGAAGTCGCGTGGTAGCCGGTGACCAACAATTGGTTCACACGCCATTTTTACCTCAGGATCCTCGAGCCCATGTGCACCATTGGTTTGGAATCAGGGTTTCCCAACTCCATTAGGTGGATTCTCCATATCCACCAACCCAGTTGAAGCGCTGGACATTCACTTTTCGTCCTCTCAATTTCGTAAAGAACACCCTTGCCACGAGAAGGCAGTGAGTAGGACTTCCCTGACAGTGGCTGTATACGCGTGGCCATGTGAGAGCATTTCGAAACGGAGTGTTGACTCTCCCCACCCTGAGCCGTACCAGGGCATTTGGGGGCTACTAGTGACAAAACACTGGAGAGTCAGAACGCCATGGAAATATAGGCTACAAGTAAACTAACAGCGTTGTAACACAATTAAATACATTCATAACTGATCACTTATCAAGTATTCGACGCACCCAACAAGGCTTTTTTATGCAATTGTTTTGACATGAAAGCAAGTCTTCTTGAGTTCCGTATCTGATATTTATAACTGCCAATCAACACATTCAGGGTTTACGATGTACGCGCATCTCGACTTACTTTATGAGTAAACATTAGCTATTGCTTAAAAACATGAACCTGTGTGATGGAAAGTGAAGTACTGTAAACTGGTTACCTTGAAAGTGACACTTTTGAACTATCTTATTTGATTGAACAATAAAAAACTATAATTATGAATTGTAAGGATACAATATATGATAAATACAGTGGGGTCTGATTTAACAGCTATCAGGATTATCTCTAATGGTTGGGCACTGACATCCTTACCTCGAAAACAGTGCAATTGATTAAACTCTAATAATAACACTAACTTTGCAGATGACAAAAGTGGTTGCAACATCAAATAATTTAAAAAGGAGCTATAAGATTCTCCAGAAACATACTTGTTATCAGTTGTGGATGAATCCTTGATGTAACTAACATAAGTACGGTCCAGTGTGGCACTCGAAAAAGTTAACACATACTTGGGCACAAACTTAGATATCAATCAGTTGATTTCATTCTCGAAACCTCGAAAATCATGTTAACCTTAACATTCAAGTACATTGAAATTCAGGTCGAAAAAATTAAGTTTTCTTAACGTAATCAATACTTCAATTAACGCTTAAGTGCTTACAAAAGCTGAATTGATCGTAAGCACAAGTGTATAGTGTAGTAGGTCACCAAATAACAGATGTGGCTTATAGTCTAGTGAATTACCCAGTATGTTAGCAATCACTTTTACGGTTTATTTCCTTTCACACTAATGACCGGTCATCAGTTAACTAGATTCAGTCGTAATGCAGATACATCGACCGTAGGGTTAAACTTCGAAGTGTCGACAAAGTATAGAAAGACTAAAAAACATCATAGTTATGTTTATCTAAGTAATTCCATGAAACGGACTATTATAGTTATTAGGCAAAGAAAATGTTACTCAAGGTAAGAGAACCGCATGTATAAAACTATATATTTTAAATGTGACAGCCGCAAACGAATCCTGAGGCTAATCATATAAATCACAAACTTTAACGAGACTAAGTTGTAAGGTTTTAACAGGAACAGTAATGACCCAGTAAGTTATAGATGTTTTGCAGATGGCGGTAGCATGAATTTAAGCATGTGACATTAACAGTTGTGATGCATCCAGTTAAGGAAGTAGTCAATAAGCTACAGGCATCTGTTAAATTACAACGCATTGCGTAGACTAAAACGATAAAAGACCCAGGAAACTTACTTCAATAACGACCAATTTGGGAGAAATGTTGAAGTTTGATTTTAAATAAGCCACATCTGATCTAATTTTTTGACCAATAACTGAAATGATGAGCACAAAATTAGTGTAGTTATACCTTGGGCAATTTGTTGGCCACACAATGTTATTCCTTTAGACATTATAGAGATTGGATTCTAAAATCAAAACCGAGAAAATCACACTATTCAGCCTCACCATCAGAATCAAGGTATTCTACAGAAAGATGTTGATACATTGCACAAACGCCGAGTCAGAACTTTTTGGAAGATCAACAGAAGTTTAAGTGGCATTCAACCTCTATTTCAAAATATATATAATAAAGTTCCTCTCAAACTAGTATAGACTAAAAATCATTGATGCGCGCCATATTAAAAGGACAGTGGTATTTTGCCTCGCTCAGTTAATTTTATTGTGGTAATCGTTTATTCCGCATCAAGACTACTGTTTTCATCCTCGCTACGTATATTCCAGTCAAGGTAATCGCTAAAAGTTTCGATTTTCTCGAAAATAACTCGAAAATGTACTTTTCTTGAATTTGTTTACACTTTTGGATCTTATACTTCTTTTGTGATCATCATATCTTAGTCTGGGTATTTTTTATGTCTAGTTTCTTGTGAAAACCTATGATTAATGACCGGAGAGTGCAAAAAAGTAGTTGCCAACGCCCAGTTTATTGGTACCCTGGGGACAGTGGTATGAGGTGGTTCGAATGGTTTGGAATGGAATAGAAGCTTTCGCTTAACGGACTTCCGTATCTAGTAGCGGTGGATCACCGATACCTCAAGACAGGAACCTAGGTATATTACCATGAGGAAAAAGAAATTGGTAAATCATAGTAAGATACTAACCTTAGTCTTTAAGAATATATCAGGTTTCCTCTTGAAGGACTCCTGGGAAGTCGCTTGGACTAGCTGAGCCGTCAGCGAAATCCAGCATTTGACTACTCTTAGGGAGTAGGTGTATCTACAGTTCACTTTGTTTTGTTGTCTCCAGTTCCTGGATGTTACCCCCTAAGTTTGTGTTGGAACTAAACTTTAGGTTTTTAAAGGGATGTCCAGAAGTAATTAGGATGATGTAGGTCATTAGAACATCACCTGTTATACGCCTGAACTCGGATGGGTAAAGGATCGGTGATTGGAGGTGCTCTTCATAAGGCTTGAATTTGAGTCCCCGACCTGATTTCGTGGATCGCCGTTGGATACGTTCGTGTGTTCTTATACTTTTTGACTGAGGGAGAAAATACTACACTCCCATACCATGAGATCGAATAAAACTGTTTAAGGTTATGTGAAAATTTCTTTCCTCGAACTGGCTAAAAATGCGCTTTAGTGATACCAGCGTAAAGTTTGCTCGGAAGGCATTTATGTCGCAGATCATGAGATACCAACACTCCTGGATTCTTTTCTAACTTGAAATACCTCTAGAGGGGAGTTACCTAAGTTGTATTCGTAGTCTGTAAAACGTCTCAGATGAATTACTTTGTGCTTTGAAACGTTAAAGGTAAGTCTTCTGTTGTCTGCCCAACTTTGAAGTCGAGTTAGATCCTTTTGATACGACAGTTTATTGTGTGTGCTCTTTAGAGTTTCACGTTATCAGTGAAAAGTAATCAATCTAACGATACCTACTGTGGAAGATCGTTTACATAAATCAAGGAAAGAAGGTCCTAGTACTGAATCTTGGGGGACCCCAGTAGGACACAGCATAGCCTGAAAGTGAAGTTAACCCTGACATTAAAATGTCGATTTCTAGATATGAAGTGAGCCAATCAAATACACGTGGTTTGATATCTAATCGTTTGAGCTTATTGACAAGATATATATGATTGGCCTTATCGAAAGCTGTTGAGAAGTCAAGGTGCGATTAGTGCAACAAGTGGTACTACGACGTTTTCACGAATCTAACGCCCGCGACTTTCAAACGGCTTAGTAAAGCAAGTGTAATCGAGACACATTAAATGGTACCCGCTCAATCATTACACAAATTTACGTGAAGTAACCTTAAATAAGCTCCGAGACGGGTGATCTACATGAACCAGAGAAGGACGGATTGACATCGAAGTCTGTTAGAAATATAAGCTCCAGAGAGGGTTTCTTCTGTCTCTCGCCCTAGGTCTGTTTACAGCTGGAGAAACAACAATTTAACCACCCAGGTCCTCGACAATCCTCCAGGATCTTACGGCATGTAGCGCGACTGTGATTGCTACTCCAATGAGAGCTGATGAAAAGGAATAAATCAATAGCCTGAAATGATACAATGTTGCCAAAGAATAGCTAGTCCTACAAACAGTAGCTCATAAACTGAATGCTATTCAAATTGACAGGTCATTTTTTGTCGATTCAAGTTAAATGAGGGCTCAGAACTCTCTTTGAGCATGAAATCGAGCTGATAAAGTATCTACCAGACCAGATCAGGAAATCTCCGGAGTCATCTTGCTAAAGGTATGGTGACTAAGTACTTAAATGTACCTGAAGACAGAATCAAGCCTGGCTTCCAAAATTAGTATCTCAATCTCTCAATGGAAGGGACTTGATACTGCATAATGGATATAAAATAAAGGGGTCAGAGGTTTTTGACAGAAAAACTTGCCTCTCACTGACCGTATAAAAATATGAGAAGCTGGTATGAACTAAAACCAAGGTAAGACGCTGTTTAGAATGGCGTTCTGAGTGAAAATTCTCGGGTGATGAGGCTTTGACAGATAACGATGCCGAAGCCAATTCGTGTGCAACACGAACACATTCTTAAGGTCATAGTTCACACCGAGCGCTCTACGAATCTATTTTATAACAACTATAAACTTAAAAAGTTGTATTGCATAAATACTTAGCATGACCAGAATTCTAACAAAACTATGCTGAAATTGGATCTGGTGTGCAAAGTGGACGCAGTGCCACTTTGGGAAATATTTTAAAGACTGTACTTAGTGTAATACTAAGGCATAATCCTAATCATTAACGCTCCAAGACATCTGCACGAAAGTACTGTTATTCATTTTTAATGATTATACCCTACCTGAGAAGTATACTTTGAGCCGACAAATGTTGTAATGTAGCGGTAAATAAATCCCTAAAATAAATAGCTCTGTAAGTTTTCGACATTGGATGCTGACCATATGTTTTAGTGGACTCATCTAGCTGAAGGCGCTCGGTCAGGCATCCGCACCAGATCACGTGTAGTAACGCCGTGCTCAACATCAACCACAATCGCTAGCCAGATTAGATCAGAGAATCCCGGTATATTGGTCATCGCCAAATATACTCTTCCGATCTCCTCGACTCTGTCTTTTGATTTCTCTTGGTGGGAACGAAATACATAAGAAGGTGTTACTGGTAGAAGCGTTGTCAAACACTGAATACCTGTGACATCATCATTGGTGAGACCGTCGTGATCTGGTACACCTTATTGCAACTGTGAGTCTGTTCCTTTTTGGGATTTTTATATATCATTGCCTTATTTTTTATTTTTTTAAACATTGTGATTTTTTTCGTGTTTTTTCTTGGATATATATATATTTTCCCCTCGTTCATTATCGTACTTCATATTTCATCATGACTGAACAGACACCTAAAGTACTCAAGCTTAAGACCTTGTCCCCACCTTCGTTTCAACTGATGCCTTTCTGGCCCGACAACATCGAAGCCTGGTTTTGCTACGCAGAAGCCGACTTTTCCGAGCACGGCGTGATCGACACACGTGCACAATTCCTCGCAGTAGTCAAGGCACTACCACGCGAATTCAACAGGTACGTAACACCTAGTATGTTTACTAGTGATGTTTCCGATCCTTACGAAATCTTAAAACGCTCGATTCTTAAACGAGGAGACCTAACCGATCGACAAAGGTTAGATCAACTCTTCAACAATATCGACCTGCAACACGGTTCTGCGACGGACATGTTGCAACGGATGAGAGAGGTTATAGGCCCAAGAACTTTCGACGAAGGTCTATTCAAACAACTCTTCTTGTCAAAACTTCCCCAACAGGTGCAAGCAGTTCTGGTCTCGTTCCAGAACAACGCCTTAGACGAACTAGCTGTATCTGCCGACCGCATTCTAGAAATTACGAAACCTTCTACTACCGAGGTATTTTCAGTCAAAGAAAAGCCTCACACGACTCAGAATGACATAACCGACTTATGTCACACACTCACGCGTTATCTTAGTCTTCGTACCGACCGTAAGAGATCGCGCACACCACGTAGAAGCATTTCTCGTAAGCGATCTGTCTCTAGACCACGAGAGACAGATAACCCCGACTGGTGCTGGTATCATAACCAGTATGGAAAGTTTTCCAGAAATTGCAGAAAACCCTGCAATTTTCCCAACACGAAACCGACTGATTCGAAAAACAATTCGGGAAACTTCCAAGCCGGCACGCGTTAACGGCAACCGTAGCCGGCGAACAAAGCCGTCTGTTATTCGTCACAGATGTGACAACGAGAGTTCGCTACCTCGTCGACACTGGCGCAGAAGTTAGCGTTCTCCCAGCAAATCCTAACGACCGACTTCACGAATCGACCCTAAACTTACAGGCGGCAAACGGAAAACCGATCGCTACGTATGGCAAAAGGTACGTTTACCTTAACGTGGGTTTACGCAAACCCATCCACTGGATTTTCGTCGTTGCAGATGTTTCTATGCCAATCATTGGTATGGACCTTCTACAACACCACAATCTGATCATCGACACTCGCAAACGGAGGCTAGTAGACGGAAACACTAATTTGTCCGTTTGCGTAACTTCTTTTACTGGTTGTAGAGTATCCCCAGTCACAGTTAAACATATGATAGACCCACTCTATCAACCACTACTCGATAAGTACCCTGGGATACAACAAACTCAACCGAAACTACCGTGTGTAACCAGCAATGTTACACATCACATCACGACTACAGGACCACCTGTATTCTCTAAAGCACGACGACTAGCTCCTGAAAAGCTAAGGTTAGCGAAAAACGAATTCGATCACATGATGGACTTAGGAATCATACGACCGTCAAGTAGCCCATATGCATCTCCGTTGCACATGGTCCCTAAAAAGGACAGCAACGATTGGCGTCCAACTGGTGACTATCGGCGATTGAACGCGAAAACCATTCCCGATCGTTACCCGTTGCCTCACATTCACGATTTGACAGCTACCTTGAAAGGTACAACTGTCTTTTCGAAAATCGACTTGGTTAAAGCGTATAACCAAATCCCTATGGCTACTGACGACATACCGAAAACGGCTATCATAACTCCCTTCGGACTCTATGAATTTTTGCGAATGCCTTTCGGTCTAAGGAATGCTGCTCAAACATTCCAAAGATTCATAGACGACGTTTTTCGAGGTCTCAACTTCGTACACGCGTATGTTGACGACTGTCTAATCGCAAGTCCGGACAGAGAAACACATCTCAAGCATCTGGACCTTGTTTTCGAACGATTACAAAAACATGGCATAACTGTAAACGTTCAGAAATGCCAATTTGGAACCGACTCGTTAGACTTTCTGGGACACACTATCGATGCTCAAGGTATCCGACCCCTTAGAACCAAAGTGGCGGCCATTCTGGATTACCCAGAACCGACCACCGTCAAGCAATTACGCACGTTCAACGGCCTGGTAAGTTTCTATAGACGTTTCATACCCAGATGCGCATCACTTATGAAACCTCTGACCGACCAACTTCGTGGAAATGCGAAATCCATTAATTTGGACGACACCGCACGAAAAGCATTCTCCACAGTCAAGGAACTGATTGCTAAAGCAACAATGCTCGCACATCAGGACACCCGAGCACCCATTAGCATCGCAGTAGACGCATCCGACTCAGCAATCGGAGGAGTCTTACAACAATGGGTTAACAACTCCTGGCAACCCTTGGCATTTTTCTCTAGAAGGTTGCTAGACACCGAATCGAGGTACAGCACATTCGGTAGGGAACTCCTAGCTATGTATTGTGCTGTACGGCATTTCCAACACTATATCGAAGGCCGTGAATTCACTCTTTTCACGGACCATAAACCGCTCACTTTCTCGTTAAGCTCTCCTTCTGACAAGTACTCTCCCCGTGAGTCTCGACAACTGGACTACATTTCGCAGTTTACTTCAGATATTCAACACATCTCTGGAGCAAACAATGTAGTTGCAGACGCTTTATCTCGTATAACTTCCTTGAACAGTTTCCAAGGAATCGACCTTCTTAAACTCGCCGAGCTTCAAAAAGAAGACAGTGATCTTCAGCACGAGTTATCGTCCACAACACTTAAACTACGCATCAAACAGATGGGAACAGGTAAGGAAACCTTACTTTGTGACACATCTACAGGTAGGGATCGCCCAATCGTGCCGAAACATTATCGACGCAATGTCTTCAACACATTGCACAAACTTTCTCATCCAGGTGTTCGTGCAACCATCAAGCTTATAGCAGAACGATTTTGCTGGCCTGGCATGAATAAAGACGTGAGGGAGTGGGCACGCTCCTGTGTAAGCTGCCAAAAATCTAAGGTTATCAGACACAATAAATGTCCCTTAGGCTCGTTTAAAACTCCCGATGCTCGTTTCGACCATGTTCATCTGGATTTGGTAGGACCTTTACCAGATTCAAATGGATACTCTTATCTCTTAACCTGCGTAGACCGTTTCACTCGATGGCCAGAAGCAGTACCTATCAAGGACAGCACTGCTGAAACAGTGGCCCGCACATTCGTCGAACGATGGGTAGCAAACTTCGGTTGCCCTTCAACCATCACTACAGACCGCGGACGTCAGTTTGAATCTGATCTTTTCCGTCGTCTGACCACACTTTTAGGAATCACTCGCTTCCGAACGACCGCCTACCATCCACAAGCAAACGGGTTGGTAGAACGTTTTCACCGACAACTGAAAGCTTCGCTATCAGCTGCAAACGTTTCACAATGGACCGACGCTCTTCCACTCGTCTTACTAGGTATCCGCAATGCAGTGAAAGCTGACATTGGATACACTGCGGCTCAACTCGTTTATGGAACGACACTTCGACTTCCAGGAGAATTCGTGGATCCTTCGTGCTCTTCGATGAACATGGATCTAACCTCCTACACGAACAGGCTTACAAACGCAATGCGTTCAGTTAAACCTGCTTCCACTCGACCTCAATCAACTGATGTTTTCGTTCAACCTGACTTACGATATAGTACACACGTTTTCATTCGTCGAGACTCGCATCGACGACCATTCGAATCAGCATACGAAGGACCCTTCAAAGTTCTTCAACGTGAATCTAAGTACTATATAGTCGATAAGAACGGAACCAACGATAGCATCAGCATCGATCGCTTAAAAGCAGCGTATTTAGAAGGAAATCCTATCCACGTCGATTTTCCTTCGGTACAATCGAACGACACGACTCAGACACTAATAATACCTCATCCGACAACCAACACACACGAAGATACTTCGACAGTATCCGAAAATAAACTTAAAACGACGCGTTCTGGAAGAAGGGTGAGATTTCCAGAACATTTAAACGACTATTGCACGTAAGGCACTTCTCGACATTTTATATTATTTTTTTTGAAAAAAAAATTTTAATATGCTTATATATTTTTATTTCTATTAAAAAAAAAAACAAAAAAAACAATTTTTTAACGCTATTACGTGCTCATGAGTTTATTTTCCATTTTTTTTCCGCCGACCTTGTGTTTTTACGCATATACGAGTGTATTTTCGACATGCACTTACATTTTCTTTTTTCTTTTCCAGGACGGCTGGAAAAGAACGATGACGTTTATGAGGATC